CATGGTGGCCAAGGATTATCCGTTCTACCTGTCCGCCAAGAGGGCAAACTGTGCCTTGCGAGTGCAGACTGTGACCAGCGCAGCTAAAGAGACCGAGGTACTTAATCTACACGGTTTCAACTTTATTTTTCTTTATAGCGTAACCTGTATTGCTTTGGGGGAAAATAATGTGCCGTGAGAACAGGCTGCGATGTACAGATAACTCTGTTCTTCAAGGCATCCTTTACGCTAGGTACTGAACTTTCTTTTGGAACAAGGAAGGAAACAAATCTACGTTTTTTTCGTCCGTCACTTTAAGAAATTAAAATGAACCTTTTAAGTAGCTAATTGAGAAATGCATGTTTTACATAAGTAGTTTAATGTGATTTCTTTGCGTTTTATTCTAGGAGTAATTATTACTTACAAATTGTTAAATTTACACAGGAGCTGGGAGGGAATCTGGGAAATGGTGTCTTAAAGCATTAACTGTCTTTTCTTCATCAGCAATTAGCCAAGAAATTAATCCAATATACAGTTAACTGAAAACTCTGCCCTATCAGCAGGTTGACTAGTCTGTTTCTTCAAAAGCGTGAAAGCCTTTCAAGTGGCATTAAAAATCTTGTTTCTTAACCCAATTTCAACATATTAATTTGCAAAATTCTCAGAAATAGTTCAGGAACAAATGTTCAGGGAAGACTTAAATATTTGACACTTGAGGTTAATGTTGCATTGTGTTTGGGAAGAAAACAGTGACCTTAAGGATTCTGAGTACTCTGGAGGAAAGATCTCTGGAAGTTTTTATCACTTAAATATGTAGCTTCTTCATTGGTCTTGTTTGCTGAGTAACTTGGAGACAACTTACTAAATTGGGTGCATTTAATACATCTCCATCAAAGATTAATTACCTCCAGCAGTTGAGCAGATCTAAAGTAAAAGTAACATAAGCCCAGTGACCTTATTTAATCATGCTTAAGCTAAGAGCTAAGAAGATGCTGCTGCACTCTTGCTTTTCAGTGTGCTTTTACATAAAGAGGTTTAATAATTGAAGTTAACAAAAGGGGAATTTTTTTCAACTGTGTATTTGTGAGAAGTAACAGCCTAAGTGTGTTTTTGTGTGTGTGTGTATGGGTATATCTACAGAAAACACAACCTGTTAAGTACCAAATGACTTTCTTAAGTTTACTCATTTTACTAACTGTAATATTAGGGAAACGTGGTTTTAGCCTTTACTGCATGAAGGATTTTTGTGAATGAATAGAGTTGTCAAATCTGAAGAGTTGGAGTGTTGCTCTGTCACGGTTAGGGAGGGCAGCTTGATTATAGCAAAATTTCAAAGAAAAAGACTCGGTGAAAGCTGAGAGCATGAGGAAGTATTGGATAACAGATGTGATCAATCAAAATTACAATGTGCAAACAGCTTGTGTTTTATACGGGTAAGAAAATGCACGCTATGCTTTCAGGCTGTTTTCTGAAAACAGGATGGACTTTCAGAATTGTGAAAAAGAAACTTTTAAACATTTTGTTTCTTTTAGGAGAATAAGACCATCTGCTCCAAATATTGGATTAAGGAAGCAGAAATACAAGCTATTCATTGGGAAAGGCATTATAAGAACCGATATATGCAGCCTGTTTCTTTGAAGTCTGTCAATATGCAAAGAAAAAAAAAATCCACGTTTCTTAAGTTCTAACATTAAGCTGCTCTCGCAGCCTTCAGTATTTACAAGGTGAATTAAAGCTGTTGGGCGCCTTCTACCACAGCGCAGAGTTACTGCACCAGAACTGGGGGTTAGGGATTTCTGCCTTTGAAAACCCGAGCTTCATCTTAATTGTTACCATGTGAAGCTGGTTGACTTATTTAAAAACCCAACCTGTGCATGTGTTGATATGTTTGGAATAGAAGAGATTTTCTGCTATGTAGATGTTTTGAGGAGCAAGTCAGTGGCAGAAAAGGGAACTGGGGTTTTCTACTTTCAGTTCTTTCTTTTAGCCACACAGTTCCCTTGACAAACTCCGTAGAAGTAGCACAGTCACAAAACAATGACAAATGAGATTTCCGAAATACATGTGAACAGTAAAAATCTGGATTCTGATAAAAAGCTAGTGTTGTAGTCAAAATGCAATTATCATAGCTCTTTCTAAATGCAGATTTAAGGCAATAAAACATTGCAGTGCCTGAGTGAATATAGCAAACACTATAAGGCCTTTATGTACATCATTACATGCCCCCCAAAATCCCATGGTACAATCTAGGTGTGAATGGTACAGAGGTCTTGGGCTCTTTCCAGCTCTTTTATAATTCAAAAAGAGAGACAGTTAGTAAAACTTGAAGTTTTCTTGCTCTAGGTTATAAACAGCCCCACAGCTTTCCCAATGATTGATATAATTTTCTATGTTTCATTGGTTAAAGCAACTCCCTTATCACCCCATCCAAAGGAAAGCCCCAGCCTGTGGATGGGCAGCAGGTGTGAAAGAGTATTCACAGTCACAGATTGAGGTTTAAAAGTCTGAACATGAAGTCATGGGAAAGAACTCTTGAATTGCTCAGAGTAAGGATGTCCTGTTCTGCTGTACAGGATCTAACACAGTGCCTGAGTTTAGGCTCCAAAACTACAACAGTGGCATAGAATTCCTTTGCATCTCCAGGATGGTGTATGTCTGGTTACATCAGGTTCAAATTGAAGGAGGGGAAGTTTAGGCTGGATATTAGAAAAAAGTTTTTTCCTGTGAGGGTGGTGAGACACTGGCAAAGGTTGCCCAGGGAAGTAGTGGATGTCCCAACCCTGGCAGTGTTCCAGGCCAGGTTGGATGGAGCCTTGAGCAACCTGCTCTGGTGGGAGATGTCCCTGCCCACGGCAGGGAGGTTTGGGACTAGATGGTCTTTAAGGTCCATTCCAACCCCTAAAATTCTATGATCTCTTACACTACAGAAATCTTAGACCTGTGAATCAGGGCTGTTTTGCAGTGTCTTTTGTTGTCTCCTGATATCCCAACAGCACTGGTGTGCAGGAGGCCAAGGGTCAAGGTGGTGTTAATTCAGCATGGGGAGTGCAGGAAGGCTAATGTGAAGGGGAACCCACCAGCCTCTGTACCATGGCACATCATTAACAGGAGAACCAGGCATGGAGCCAGAGGGAGAGGGGCCAAAAGATTATGAGATAAACTCCGAGTCATGAATTTTCTTTGATCTTCATAAATGCATGTATTTCATTTTAATGAAATATTAGCAAGTTGCAGTTTTGACGTATTTTAGGTAAGTTTCATGTGCAGTGTAACTGGAAACGTGTCAAACCACTGCACTTGGAGCTACTGATCTGTTCTGCTTAATGGCAGTGTGAAACAAACAGCTTGTCTTTATTTTTCCATTCAGTAACACTTGCTCTATGATGTCTGCTGGCTAATTGGCAGTCCAGGTTAACATCCAGTTTGTTCCAGAATGGAAAAGGTCTTTCTTAGGTTGCCTGTTTAAGCAGCTTCTAATGAGAGGAAATGCAGAATTTAATCAACTCTACATTAGTTGTCTGGGTTTTTCAGAGTTTCTGTTGTTTGTGTTAATTCACCTCAGTGTGAGGTTTTTCTGTTAATCAGCCTTCATTTCCTAAGTCCTGATAGATATACTGAGTTCTTGATATTGCAGACGAATGATCAGTCAAGATAGTTGGATGCTACTTGCCCTTATGCTACTGACACTTCAGTGGTTCTGTCTTGCATATGGCGAATTAAATCAGTGGTCCTAAGGGTGGTGACTGATGAGGGCAGTCTATGTGCAGCAAGGAGTCAATCTCTGATGATGTGATGACATGCTACAAACTTCAGCTGTTGTCTTTGACTGGGAATACTTTACCACTTCCCTAAATGGCTTTTTACTGTACTTCAGCTAGCATTTCAGGCTCTCTTCTTTATAACTCTGTGATTGAAACAAAATGTCTCTGGATTTTTCTTTATTCATTTGCTGGTTTTAGGAGACCAACAAAGGAGGAATAACAAAACTCCTCCTCCTCCCATCAGAGAACTCTAAACACAGGTGGGGGATGGAACCTTATGGATATGAAGTTGTACCATCAATACCCAAAATTTATCAGATGATCATGTTGCCCTTATGTATCAATTTATTTAAATCACTTAATAAATTTTTCATGAGCTGCTGGCAGTTTGACTAATGGGATGCCTCTCCCAGGTATTAGAATGGACTTGTGCAGATGATTACAGTTAACCTTTGTGGAACATCAAGCTTTATTAGAACTATTTTAGAGTCACCTACTTTGTTTTCCTTGACCATAGGCCTCAGCTCCAGAAGAGTCAATGTTCTAGAATTTCTCAATCAGAATATTTCTAAGATACTATGAAACAAAAGCAAATTCTGTGCTGTTTCAAGTATTAAAAAATCTTTTACTAGTGCCAAAATCAATTGAGAATGTTGTTCTAGTGTTAACTTGCTTTGCTCTGAAGGTACAAAAAGCTTGAGATGCCTGGCTTAATGTATTTTTAGGTTAAGTGTTTGCTGTATTAAAGACTCTGTTGTAACATAGGCTGTTTTTTCTATTTTAACCTTTT